AAATTTTGGATTTCTAGCAGTAAGCTTACCCCAAAACCCCAAAACCCCAAAACCCCAGAAGAATTGATCTATAGCTAAATTGTTGATGTTATATTATATGATTTAATAATTTCATAGCAGCCAAATATTTTTTAATTTAGTTCTACTTCAAAAATCAGTGAGATCTAAATCTTCATTATTTGGAGTAATTTCCATTCCTGCTCCAAAGCTTGACATAGCATTCCAACCATTAATTTTGTTCTTACTTGATTTACCACTGAATCCTCTCTTTCTGAATTTGTTTTAAACCATTGAAAAATTCTGTGATTTCTGGCCTTTTCTTAAAAAACTCTGACCCTAATTTTCATTCGTATTTGAGGTTGTTTTACCACTGTATGCACTCTTTGGTCTTGATCTTTGCCCATTATAATCATTATAAACTACTGCAGTATGAGGTCTCCTCTTCAGGACATTTTAACTTGAATAGATCTGTTCTGGATTGCCAATAATCTCTAGTTTTGGATCTGGATGCTAGATCATAGGTGTAGACTCAAATATTTGCTTCTATTTTTACAAGAGAATGACATTTTAAGGCTGTAACAAGCTTTATTCTTTACCCTTTTTCTAAGTTTCCTTTGAGGGATCTGTAAAAGTTGAATTTCTATAAATGGTTCCATGTCTATCTTAGAGATAATCCTTATAGCCTCCTAGGATAAGCAAACCATTGTTTGATTTTAAAGGCCTATTTCTTTTCATCTAATAAGGATCTTAATCTTTGAGTTAATCTACTTGCACTTTCTAAGTCAAATCCATTATTTCATTGTTTAAACGATTTTATGACTACCTCAATTTTTATCCTTAACCTTAAATTTTTAAATCCTTTGCAATCTCATGCCTCATATCTTCCTTAATTATGAGTACTTTCTTGGTATCTGCCAAACTAGCATACGTTTAATTAGCATTATTGATAACTTTGATTGGTCTTTATTTATCTATCTAAGTTTAAATAAGTTGCCTTCTAATGAAGCCATTTATTGCAAGTTAGACATTAATGTCAGTTTTAAGTTTAAGTTCTTCCTCTGGTCTCATAAAAGACAATGATTATTTCGAACTTTTCGACATATTCATGGTTTGATTCTGAAAATGAGGATTAGTTTAATTGTTAATCATCATGATTTAGTATGACTTTCTTGATTGAGAGTTGCTATTGTAAAGCATAGAATTACCTTGGAATTAATAATTTCTAACTTTTGCGGATTTCAGTCTTTATATTTTAGAAGAAGGCCTTGATATAAATCTTGGGGGTTCAGGTAAATTCCCTGGATTTTAAGAGAAGAAATCTAGCTAACTTCTGCGAGGCGATAGTTATTGATGACTCATTTTTCTGAATTTATTAACATTATCATAATTTAAAATTCGACCTAATATTCATAAGACGGGGTTTTGGGGTTTTGGGGTTTTGGGG